GTATATTTTTACTTGAAGACTTAGATTATACAGATAGAGTGTCTCCAAACAAATGCTTCGAGAACAGCGGGTCAACTTTTTCATACAATTTTGTGTGATAAATAGTTATGAATGATTCCCTTATAACTTCTGTATTTATTTTGTCTTATAGTTTTTTCACCTTTTTAATCTTCAAAAACTAATTTTATTTATTAAACAATTAAATAAATTCGTCGTCGTAAACGTCAAGATAAATTGTGTACGTAAGTACATTAATAAAAAAAAAAACAAATCAGCTAATTTGACAATTAGCTGACAAAAAGTTGACCCGTTTTTTAAGGCTCGGTGATCTATCTATATAATCTAAGCAAGAAGGGTTACCTATAACTAGTCTATTTCATTGGAATTCCTATTTCCAAAATCCACACACATTAAGTCGCAGGCAATAGCTAGTATTCTCTTCTCCAATGGAAATGGAATAAGGATTGTTAGTAATAGGATTTAACATCACCATAGCTAGCAATGTGATCAATTAGGTACACCTCTTCGCAGTTCTCTCTCAGAAACTAAAATCACTATAGCTAGCAATGTACCTTTTTAGGTCGACCTCCACTAGGTTTCTCCTGGAAACTACTGTGATTATGATGGACTAACTGACTTGCTTTCATCCTCACCTATCATCCCTCATTGGTGTCCTGCTAACGTAAACCAGTAGAATAGGCGTTCCATCATCACCCCTAAAAATACTCGAATACCTGTTTCATGTATTTCTCTCATCAAAGTAGCTCGATTGGTGTACCGATTTGGAAAGTTAAATAGACAGTAAAATTACTGAGAAATACTAATAAAAATTTCACGTCATAAACACGTGAGTGATTCAGATGTTGTAAGCGCATGTGTTGCACTAACCACTTGCCATCGGATGGGCCGTGTATTAATTGCCAAATTTATATAAAGAAAAATATAAAATGTAAGGTATCTATTTGAACTTATATAGGTGGATATATGTACCAATGGAGACCTAGACTAACTTATTATTATCAGATGGATCGTATTCTTTCTAAAGGAGAAGTCAAGAGTCTCCAATACCAGCGTGCATGCATAAAAAAGTTATTAAAATGCAGGAAGCAGACCTTGTAAGGCCTTTAGCACTTGACTCTCTCTTCTAAACCCGCAAGGAACTCAACAAGGAAGATAGATAGAAATATATATATACTCCTACATATATATTTATATATGTGTGTGTGTGTGTGTGTGTGTGTGTGTGTGTGTGTGTGTGTGTGTGTGTGTGTGTATTTTTATAAAAAAAAATGTTAATGTCATCTAATAACAAATACAATAATATAAAAAATTTAATTAAATATTATAAGATAGAAACAGTAAAAGATAAGAAAGCGGAGTATTAATATCTACAGTGTGTTTACATACACAATTACGTATATGATTCATTTAATATTTATTCATTGATTATTAATTTGATAAAGGCAGTAAAATTATCAAAACAATGTTTATTTAAATCTTTAATAATATAATAAGTATATTAATATCTATTAATATTATAACTGGGATTTTTTTTTATATAGTAATTGTAGCACAGTTGAATGACCCTTTAAAAACGGTTCTACATTGATAGATTTTTATTGAAAATATTAATTATTTTTAAATTTTTGATTATATACTTTTCTTTTTTTTTATACAACTTAGAATGGCAAACAATCTGACGGTCCACCTGATGGAAAGTTGTAACCATCGCCTTTAAACATGAGCAGTACAATGGACATAACAGAGTATACTGTTTCGCCCATGATACCCCCCATGCGTTGCCATTCCTGAGGACTCAGGTGTTATTCCTCTGTACCCAGTAAATTCACGCCATATCCCACCCTTTAATCCGAAACACAGTCATGCAAACTCAACTGTTTCACGATTGAAACACGAATGGGACAGAGGTACACAAGCAATCGACTTTTGTACAAATTTTTTTGGGACCACACTGTTAATGAATCATCGTCAAATAATTATTATTCTATACATATACCATATAGAGAAGGATATAAACTACTTTTTATTCCATTATTACGAATAATTAATTAAAGTAAGCAAACACGTATTTCGAATTCAACCACAGACTGTAAAAACAATATAAAAAATAATACAATAAATTCTTATCAAACATCTATTGCAAACATTAACGATACAAAAAAAAAAAACAAAAAAAAATACACAATATTAAAGGTTATACGCCTAACAATACCTACAGTATTTCCTCTATAGTAACTTTCAAAGTATTCGGCGACCATTAAAACAAAAGATCGTACCTACGGGCAATATTGACAGATCTTTCACGTAACGCAACTTATTCCCAAAAATACAATCTGGAGGGAAAATGGTGAATTCGCTGTACGGCTGATCAATAAAGATATTGTGTTGCGGTGACAAAGGTCCGCAGATCTCAATATTTCACGTAGCTGGAGCTCCTAATATCCTTCTTGTTGGATCTACAAATGTATTGTTCATTTGATCAAGTTTATTAAATAAAGATTCTCCGTTGGCAACATGTGGCTGACCCAAATCATAATATAACACACTTATACGTTTCTTTTTACGCCGTTTCTCGAACATTGCTTATTTATTTCACTTGGATGGTATAGATGCTTTTTGGAGGCGTATTGGAAATGTTTTGGTATTATTGGCCTAATTAATTAATAGATTTAAAAAAAGAAGGAGGTTCTATGTTCCACTCTTAGATTATACAGACAGAGCATCGAGTTTCATAAACGGGTCAAGTTTTTGGCAGCTAATTTTCAAAATTAGCTGACTCGTTTTTTTTAGTATTCTATATGCTTATGCACAATGTATCTTGACGTATTTATATTTAATTATTTAATAAATAAAATTAGTTTTACACATTAAAGAGATGCAAAAATTATAAAACAAAATAAATATAAAAGTTATAAAGGAAACACTCATTCTTACTCAACAGGAAACTGTTTAACACGTAATGTTGTACGAAAAATTTACCCACTTTTCTTGAAGCGTTTATATAAAGACACTGTATCTATATAATCTAAGGTTCTATTGTATATTTTTCATTTTTAAATTCGAATTTAAAAGATTTCAGAAAGTCGTATTTCGGCATTGATCGTGTCTTAAACTAAAATTTAATTTTTTTATCTCAAATATATGGTTACCGCTTAAATCATAACCTAAAATAAAGCGCTGAGTTAACATAAGACATCTCAAAAACAAACTCAGTTAACTGTTTTTTACACACATACGTGAGTCCATCAATGCCTAGTTGTGGTCAAGGCTTGTACTTTTCTCAAACAATGCGCGGAAATCAAAAACACAATTTTACTTTTTAACTTCAATGACGAATAACGAACAATAATAATTTTTCACACACCATAATGTTCCTTTGTTTTTTTTTTTCAATAAACAGCTTTCTATTTGCAAGTCTGTTCGAAATTTAAATAAAACCTTTTATTAGTTACCTCCTTGGTAGCCATATTTCGAAGTAAAAGGTCATTCCATTTTTAAATTACAGGACAGATATAAGTTTACATAGTAATTTATCTGGCCGCAAAACACGACAGATATGGATTTTCATACAACTTTTGCCGGCCGCTGCCCGCATGTATCTGATCAGTACAGCAATTTTGATTTATCTCGAAGAAGTTTGTCAAAATAATGCTCACATTTCCAAGCATGTTTGAGAAAATAAATATTTTGTGCATGCTAACTGCATATAATAGTAGTAATCGAGTTTAAGTTATGTTAGTATGCACTATGCATATAGCACCATGTAAGGCACAGAATAATAAAAATCCGAAAATTCGGCATATCTTTTTCATTCATTTGTCTTCAATTATAAAAACATATAAAGGAAAACAATTTGCTGTTTTTATCGCAGTTTTGTAAAAGGTGTCTTCTGCAGCCAAGCAGTGATGCAGATTGAGTGTTTTATTATGAGTCAAGAACTTCATTTTTTAAAGATTGACAGTGTGCGATTTCAATGCTGTATTATAGGGAGGAAAAGGATTGTTAGTAATGGAGACTGAGAATCCCATTGCTAGCAATATACCTAACCAGGTCGACCTCCTCGCGGTTTCCCCTGGAAACTACCATAGTTTAACTATATAATAATTACTAACTATTAACTATATAATACCATAGTTTAACTATATTATAACTGGCCTGTTTTCATTCTCATCTATCACCCTTCACTGGTGCTCCGCCAGCATATCCCGTTAGCGCAGGCGGGGTTACCATTCCATTTTCACCCATCAAAAAAAAATGCTGTATTATATGGGTTTACATACAATTTCAAATGCTAAAACTCTCAAATAAATTACCCACATTTCACACTACATATTTCATTTTTCTCCAAAAAGCTCTCCAAATAATTATTGTTTCTCTAAAATTTCTTCTATCGTCGAATTTTTACCCAACATTGTGAAAAAAATACCCAATCTGGCAACATTGCAAATCAATTTATACATAGAGTGCACCTGTGAATTGTCTCGTCAGTTTGATCGTTGCATTATTGATGACTGGAAATTTTATTTTTGTCGCTTCGTATCGTGCGTACGCGCACGTACGTACATACCCTTGGATTTGATAAGAGATATTGTCGCGGTGAAACATGTCATTTGTGCGCACACCCACTTCTATGTTTTTTATTACTCACAGAATAATCTGAAGACTAACAGAATATTTATTTGTACTCTGTATTGAATAATTATAATTCTATTTTATCAAAGGATTATTGTGCGAGTTATTACATTTTATTTATCAAAATTATAATTTTGTAAATTATAATATTAATATGCTTATTAACAAAAATACCTAATAATAATTAATAATATTAAAAATTGTACCTTTTGATCCCTGAATTACATAACTCTAGACTTCTTTTTAAAATAATGTATTACATAAGTAAATATTCTAAGAAACAGGTCGCAATAAGAAAAAATTCCGACGTATTAATATTTAAAATAAATCAACTTCTTTGTTCCCAGGTCCGGTGGCTGCATCGCTACTTCTGACGATACTCTGCTGCAGTATCACCGTCTGTGACATCATATTAAGGTACGTTCATAATGAAACTAAATCATATAAATTATGTAGTGTTCAGAGTGAAGACTTTTGAAGTAATTAACTTTCTGTAATTGTGACAAGGGCGCTACTGTCAACGTTTCATGCAGCTTAATTATTCAAGATATATGACAGATATTATTGTCTTATCTATATGCCGATTCCTATATACTAGCTCAAGTATGGAAGAGTTTTCGCCATATGGTTCCAGCATAGATTAGGCCACCACTTCTTTTTCGTGGGTGTCGTAAGAGGCGACTAAGAGAACTTAATGGTCGAAGAATGAGCAGTAGCGTCCCTCTTGAAACATCACCAAAGCCTAACTGCGATTGCCAACACGCTTACCAATCATGGCAACTACTGGCAAAACCCTCCTTTATAGGGAAGGCCTATGTTCAGCAGTGGACAGATGACGGCTGATATAATAATATGATAATATATTGATATATACTTATGTAGCTTAATGTAATCTTTTACTTTAATAAATTTATTTTAAAGGTCTGTTAATTTCATTGTATTGTTCTTGGGACACTGTTGAGTTTTATAGTTAGGTACTGTTGTTGAATTTCTCATTGCTATAAATAACACCCATACTGTTTTTACTTTTATAAAACATCGTCTTTACTTAATTTAAAATAAAACTCCGCAGTAAATATTAAAACACTCTCTTTTATTCCAGGCAAATCCTACGATGATGTCGGGCCGCGGGCGATACAGCTGTCAGACAAAACCCTCGGAGTATCTGTAAATAAGATTTTTAAGTCATAACTTGTAAGGGAAATATAGGAAAACATTGTACAATGCCGAACGTTGTATGTGTCAGCAACTCAGAAGATTAGGATGTATAACTTCGTACCTTTGCCTTCACTGTTGCGGACAAATGATTACTGTTTCTGCGTGTCAGCGCCATTTGACAGATATGACGTTTCGTTTGACATTCGGTGTCAAAGTATTATGCATTATACATTCCAGACAAATTATCTTTTTGAAGACTAGGCAGCATGGTCTCCGACCTTAGCCTGTTCCAAACGGAACAAACGGACTAAAAAAAAAAAAAAAAAATTATGCATTATACATTTTTCAATGACAGCGATCTCAGACAATGTGTTATTTGTATAGTTAATGTATAGATTTAATTTATTTCTAGCGTATAGCTAATATTTATATACTATTATTTATTCTGTGGTACTACTATGGTAGTCTGGGTGAAACTCAGTTCTATTTCATGTAATTAATTATATTTCAAATATGGCTGTGGTTTTCGTTTTCTCATAATGGAATTGTACTAAAATAACAAGAATAGTTAACTCCGTAATAGTTTGTTATAAAAAAAAGTAAATTAGAATATACTAATTAAATATTTGTCGATTTTTTAAAGATTACATGGAAATCTACGCACCTACAATGACATTTGTCATAAAAAATTAATTCATTTTTTTAAGCATTTAAGACATTTATTTGCGTGTATCGCCGAAGTTAAAAATACCCTACAAACCTATTCAAGTTGAAATCATAATAATTAACATTCTTATACTGTGTAACTAATTAAACTGGATACTTTTTCTAAAAAGATATAAGTAGAGAAACGACACAATAGGTAAACTCCCTTACTGACATCTGCTTTCACGATCTTTTTTGTGTATAAATTTGATTCCCGATCGAGCCAATTTAGGAAACGGAACTTTTATGAAGTAACTTGGATATGGATGACCTGGTTTGTACTTCCAATATTAATTACCTGGTTCCTTATAATACAAGAGTATCTTAGCTCAAATCATGTATTAATTGATGCAGGAGAATTGTTTCTATGGCAGTGTATGGGAGAGGCTCTATCTATACGGGCAAAATTTATGTTCAGCAGTGGACAGTAATGGCTGATATGATGATGATCTTAGTTTACAGACCAATCCATGGATGGGTCTTTTCGTGACATTTAAAGAAAAAAATACAACACAAGTTAATGTAACTAGTTCTATATTTTTTATCGTTTATGGACTTCTATTTCTATGCGTATTTAATTTCTCAGTTCAACTGCTAGAAAATTCTATTAAAAGAATGCTAATACTTTCAATGTCACTCTATTATTTATACAAGTTGGTAAGCTCATCAGTTGAGAACGACTGGACAGTTAGTTGTCTTTTTTTAATATTCGTAATAGATCGGAAAAGAGTTTTAAGAAAATTAACAATAATTTAGACAGCATTTGTCGAATCAATTAGTTTAGACTATTGTGTAATATCGTTTTAAAAAATTAAACAAAAGCTAGTTGCTACGAGTATATCTCTCTTCAGTTGTACACTCTTGACAGAGTGGTCGTGATTTTATAATGATAGTGGATCGTCGATGAGGCCTTCCTTCGCGATTTAATTGCTATATACAGCACAGTATGTCCAAAATACGAGTATATATCCACAGTACATCCAGTATATTTTAAATCTTAATATTTTCAATTCCCTCTGTCTATTCATGTATTATTTACACCATAAAAAAAAAAACTACAAAACCGTCTGAAGTTTATTTTTATAATTATTACAATATATACAATAGTATTGCAATACGGATACTTTAATATATAAATCTATCTTGGCTATTTATATTTTTTTTAATCATTGAACATCCATTGAGTTATTTCATTACAGATAGTTTGTGAAATGCTGATTAATTCTCATTCAAAAATATAATTCTCTATTTAATGGTAGCCGTACGATTCAATGAAATAGGTGTTACTATATATATATAGATATATATATATATACCTGGTTATATATGTATATTTTTAGCATTATTAAAATAATTAACTTGTTAACAGTTGTCCTATTAGATAAGTTTGTTTTCAGTGATCCTCGTAATAATATTATTTATTTAACTTATCTGTCAGTCACATTTTATCACAGTTCATAAAACACGAAGTCGTTCATTATTCAAGATACTTATTGTATGAAACATAAAGGAAAACTAATAATTCGAAATATAACATAAGATCATATATGTATATCTAGATGAAGTGTCGATTATAAAAAAAGCCTTAAAAAATATTCAGCTAAAAGCATCATTTGGTTGATTCATATTTCAAATTTTGATTGCTTTTATTTTTTAACTTCGTCTTTATTTTAATTTTTTTCTCTCTTACTAAGTATTAACACTTACAGACATATAGTCTAATATCTAAATTTATGCTTAAAAGAATTAAAAATTGCCCTTTATATGGTAATATATTAGTATTGAGACAGTTTATCAAAAATCTCATATACTCATATGATCTGAAGGATGGAAATTCACTAACACAATAATAAAAAAAGTTGACTGTTTTTGAACACATGTTTTTACGGAGATAATCTGCATCATCAATTTACGAACAACTCATTATAGAATGAAATAATTTTATTAGTTTTAATTTCGTATTAATTGTAAAAATTACAAAAGTTCCTAATTCTATTATTACGTTGTATTAATTTTATGTAATTTATAAATCTCTCGTTAATGGAATAGCCTAACAAACTTTACGAGAGACCAAATTAAAATCTTATAATACCTACATTAAAACATAGGCACAGGATTTAGAACATCAGCGGAAAATAAGTTATTTGAACAATTCCTTTGATAATAACAAAGTAAGGATTAATTCGTCACTTAGAAAAGATACGTGAATGACGTTGTAATGGGGAGGCTGACGATTGTATTCTATTTAAGTAATTTATTTGCCAAGTATTTATTATAATTTACAAGATGATAATAAGTAAGGTAATGGAAAATTTACTTAGGCGTCTAAATTCCTCTAGGAAAATTTTAAATACAACTAAATTATTTTAAATACACAATTGGGGCTTGACGCGATATAAAACTTTTACAGGTGAATAGTACTTAGATACCTGCTTCTTTATTGTTGACGTTTCGACGTGGATTGCACCACGTTATGGTCACGACAGGACTGAGTGATTGAGTAAGTGAGAGAGGCCTTATTTTTTTGATGGGTGAAAATGGTATGATAACCCCGCCTGCGCTGACGGTATACGCTTGCGGAGCACCAGTGAAGGGTGAAATAGATGAGAATGAAAACAGGCCAGTTAGCCCATCATGATGAATTCATCAGAAATTAACCATGATAGTTTCCAGGGAGAACCGCGAGGAAGTCGACCTGGTTGGGTATATTGCTAGCAATGGGATTCTCAGTCTCCATTACTAACAATCCCTTTCCTCCCAATGAGAGAGGACTAGTCCTGTTACCTTTTGAAATATAATAATATCACAACTATGATCCCTGATTGGATAGTCAGAAGCATTCATCGACTAATTTTGTTGGTATAATTATTTTTACCTTTACAATATTATATATCAGTATATATCAAGGGTTGCCGACTTGACTAGATCCAAGATCTATTGTTTATTGACGAAACCCTGTGCGATCTACCAATTACATACTTCTTGAAATCTCAAATGAAACAACATAGTTCAGTACACAATTATGTAGTGTTATAGTATTTTTTTATTAAGAGGAAAAACATAAAATTGAAAACTGTTCTTATTAACTACTTATTTATATTAGTGTGAGCATTGCGTCTGAGCATCTTCCGCTAAATTAGCAAAATTAAGTTTGTAGTTGGAAATTGCCAACTTTAAAGAATCCAATATGAGTGTTTATTTTTTATGTTGACCCAATAAACGAATGCAGTTGGATATTTCTCGTTGGAAATCAATGCCCAGAAATCTAGAATTGAGTTGCCTTTTAGAAATGTGTCGTAACGTAGAGTAATTTATATTTTTTGCCTTGCCACAATCGACTGGACTATCAGTCGCGACCACGGGGTTAGCTACCCCTGGCATATATGTTATCAGATAATATATTCCCCTAATAAAAGTCATAATCTCTTCATAAGGTATTGTAATATTTCATGTATGTATATATTACAAGTATATTATTGTAGGAATAAACCTTTTCAAGTCCCATTTGTCCCTTAATCCTTATATGTAATAACAGCTACCTGACGTGTCTGTAGCTTTGTCAGATATAACAAACATATCCCGACCTGCTCGCCCTATTATACATCAAGAGATGTCAACGTAATTTACGCATGGACAACGGTAGAAGAGAAAATTTGTGTGATAATGTTTATTCCACTCCATCTACTATACCAGAGGGTACAGCAGTGAAATAACAAAGCACAAAGGATCATAATTCTCAGAAATCTTATCAAATGAGAAGTGTTTTTTTAATGGATGATAATGAAATGGTAGCCCCGCCTACACTAACGGTATACGATGGCGAGGCACTCGTGAGAGATGATAGGTGAAGATGACATCAGGTCAGCTGACCCATAGTGACAAATTTAACGAGAATTAACCACGATAGTTTCCTGGGGGAACCACGTGGAATTCGACCTGATAGGGTATATTACTAGCAAGGAGATAGTTTATTCCCATTACTATCTCTTTCTTCTCACTGAGGGATGTCAAGGATGTCACGGAGTGTTCTGTGATGTCCACAGATCTATTCATGTCTATAGGCGACGTTTGCCACATTCCATCAGGTGGGCCGCCAACTTGTTTGTCATTCTAAGTGGCATTAAAAAAGATATATAAAAAATTATTTTTTTTAAGCGACTTCAAAAAAATACATTTACAATTCAACATTTTTTTTTTTTATAAAAAAGCATAAAAATCCGAGAAACAGCAGTAAACTTGTCCCTTGCCGTAATTAAATGCTAGTATGCTCGGCGAAATGTGGACATATCCGAGCATTGACAATGTTCGTGTGTCCGCAACGGTCGACATATACCTCTGATGACGCCTTTAGAGATTATAGTCGTGAGCATATTTATTCTTATAAGCTTTTCACTAACCACTG